GGCCAATTCCTTTAGAACTCTAGGGTGGAGATCATCCGGACTGGCTGACTTGAATACGTCCAGCCCCTCCAGAAGCTCCCTAACTAAATCCTCGCTAACCCTTGGCCCAGGTGTGCCTCCCCCAGGGCCCAAGGGGGGCCCAGCAGGGAGGTGGCTGTTCTGGTCCCTACTTAGGAAGATGGAGGCAAAGAAATCATTAAACATGTTGGCTTTGCCGTCTGGTGTGACGACCAAATTTCAAGAAAGGCCTAAAAATAACCTCTTCCTTCCAACCCACTAGCTACCTCATTACTAGTCCAATGGTGCAATTTAGATCATTTGAAACAGAGGAAAAAACAATCAATGGAAAAGAAAACTTATTTTTCTACCACATCACCAACAACAGGTACTGTAAGAAAAGGAAATTTTAAACACAGACTTATCAAATCCTCAGCTTTCCCTTCCCCTTGATTCTAATTTAAATAGGAGTTTTAATTCACTGCCTGGCTCTATCCTCCCAGGAGACAAGACCTGGATCCATAAAACAACCCTACAACGGAAAAACAAAAGTGATCAAATCCCCAAAGACTATCAAACTTAAATGTACTCTTTTATTTATTTTATGTTGTTCTTAATGGAAAGTTGTTCACATATGTACAATATGCAAAACTAGAAGCTTTCTAAAATCCTCACCAAAATATATGATGAAAGATATTTACTTGCCTTGGTGCCTCTTCCACAACCTTCTGATTTCTTCTTTGAATGGAACACTCTCTCTCATTCAGCCACAAAGCATTGCCATGCTTATCTCCCAAAACCTAGAAAAAAAGGTGTTATTAACAAACAAGTGCAAACATCTGGCCATTGACATTCTGCAATAGGAGTATTAGGGGCAAGCAACCTACCTACTTTGAAGACACAGTTTGATGAGTTCATGAAAGGAATCGTATGATGGGACTGCCCGAGACAGAAGGGAACTGGACATGGTGACCAGGAGGTTCCCTTGAGTGCTTTGTTCTTAAATGCCCATATCTGCCTAAATGTTTCCCCAGTCTTCTCCTCCCACATCCAACTTCATACCTTCTTTCATGCTGCTTCCTATCCTTAGGTCATTTTCATTTACAATATCTGCTTCCTCATCTTATGAGTCTCTCCATATAACCTCTTTTGTCTATGCCAATTCTAATGTCTTATCCTTTAAAAATGAAGTACTCCAATGAAAAATGACTAGATAAAAATAGAATCACCGTAACTCATATACCTGTACCTGGTGTGAATACAATTGGTACACCATATTCAGTGATAAGAAGTTTTATTATTTTTTGTGCTTTTCAGCACCACAAAATAAGTACAGCTCTGAGTGCACTTTGCTCATATGCCAACAAAATAATTACAAAGAAAAGTGGGAATAATCCAGGTAGATGAAACAAAACTCTCTGAGTTTTGACTTCAGTAAGACTGTTTATGTGCAAAAAGTTCATCACAGGCTAAACTGTGATAATGGATAAGAATCAGGATACTCGGCAACTCCCAGGAACTCCAGTGAGAGTTCCCACTCCTGCTCACAGCTTATCCAGTTCAGGACAGCAGCACCTGAACTCTAGAAATTCCCATGGAGACTTCTTTAACAGAAGAATAGAGTTGGCATTAAAACTGTTTACATTATTATACAAGACTCAAAGAGCAGAGTATTTTTGCTTTGGTGGGATCCCTCTTCTGAAATCAGTAGGTACTGCTTTTTCTTTCCTTTTGTGACCGTCTCAGACCCTCTCATCAAGGCTGGCCAAAAATAATCCACTGGAGCTTTTTTGGTAGAAACTGTTTTCAATGAAACAAACTTTTTTTTTTTCTGAAAAGTGTGAGCTCACAGTGGAATTTCAAATTTTCATTTGACAAAAAATACAGCAGAAATTGTCAATGGAAAATGACAACAAAGAAGGGATAGAGGGTTGTTTCCACCCATTTATCAAAACTTTCCATGAGGAAAAACAAAACATTTTCATCGTTTTCAACTGTACGTTCTTCTTATAGCAAAATCACTACATTCTTCCCTTTCTTCTACCCAGTTTTGAAACACATGCCACCTCTAGGGAAGTTGTTTATAATACCTCTCATGTTTGCAGTCTGTATCTTATAACTGCCATTGTGCTTTTATCCACAACTGCAGATATGAACATTTAATGCATTCAAGACACAGCTCTTAACTATCAGGCTTAATAGTCTAAGCAAGGAACATCCAAAGCTGGCCTTTTAATTCTATCCAGAAGACAAACAAAACTGAAAAAAGTAATTGTTTTCTAAATGTATTTACCAAAGGAATAATGATCTTTCATTTCTAGTGGGATGAATCAAAACACACCTCTTTAATTAAAAAATACATGTTCCACCTATAGCATTTTTTCCTCAGTGGTAATAAAAGGAAGATATTTATCAAACTATTACTAAAGAATATAGTCTTTTTTGTGAGACTGCAAGATTTGTTTCTTACTAGCATTTGAATTTGCAGACTCCCTTTTACACTAAATAATAAAATATTTATCATGCTTTGTTCCCCTTTTTTTTGGATTTAGCCAAATACAATTTCCAGTGACAGTATTTGGTATTTGGCCAAATACTTTTACAATTAGACACTCAGTTTACCCTTACTTTAAACTCAGGTCCTTCATGTCAGATATTCTGGGAGAACAAGATTCCCAAATCAATGCAAGCCATAAAGTCTATTTGGACTCTTTTTTCCTGTTAATTGTTTTAGCCTTTTCTTATGTTTTACAAAGTGATTGTTTTATAGGTAGACACAGGAAACTCCTTACTTACATTTTTAAGTAACAAGAGTCTTGGAGCTGTGAGAGAATGTTAAAAAAAAGGTCTGTTTAAAACTTACTGTTAAATTAACAAATATTTGGCATTTGGTCCCAAATTGTTTATACATTAAATAGTTTGAAAATAAATCAAAGTCAGTGTCCCACACTGATTTAGAACATGAAGTTTAAACTGTGTATATATCTTTAATATACCTTTACAAGATCAAATTACATGCAACAAAAACAAGATTAATCATTACCTGTGTTACAAATAAAATTATCAAGTATTAAAATAAATGGTGTTTAATATTTGTGTAATTGTTCTATTTATGGAAGCACATTGTCCTTAAAAGTGATACTGCCAATGTTTTTAAAAGATAAAAGTACTTTAATAAGATATAAATAAAGATGGATTGGCTCTAATTCACTAAAAAACTGAAACATTTAATTCAGTCAATCCCTATTTCGAAAGATTTCTTTAATTGCAAGCTTTTGGGTACAAACTCCCTTTGTCAGGCATTGGAGAAAAGATTGTAAAAGTTCTCCTAGGTAGAAATTCATTTGTCCCCAGGAGAACTTTTACCATCTTTTCTCCAATGCCTGACAAAGGGAGTTTGTACCCAAAAGCTTGCAATTAAAGATTTTTTTTGCAAAAATCTTGTTGGTATAATAAAAGATATCTTCTCTACTACAAGTCCTGATTGCTTTTTCCACTGGGCCAATATGGCTACAACCTGGATACCTATTTAGGAAAGCACTTACACACACGTTTAAAGTTATGCATGTGCATAAGTCCTACTGACACAGAGAGCATTCTAGGATTGGTTCTCAAAAATATCAACTGAATTTCTTATTCCATTTTCAGTCTTCTTAAAACTGCCTTGTTTCCCACTTGTGGTGGTAGTTTCTGGGTTTTATGGACATAATGAAACTGACCACATATGTTCACATGCAAAAGTTTTGCATCTATTCCACTGGAAGCAGAATCGAGCCTTAACTTGCTTCTATAAGCAAAAAAAGGGGAAAAATAAGGATGAATAGTTAAAATCTTTGGGTGCTTTTTGTTCATTTGGGGGAAAGAAGATATATGTAAATTGGGGGTATGGGGGTATTTTTTTTATAACATATAAAATCTGACAGTCACTATTACTCTGTTAAGAAACAGCTTATTTTAAGACCCTGATCTTTCCAATATTCATGTATGTGCCTAATTTTAAGCATCTGAAGAATCCCACTAATACCAATGGGACTTCTCACATGTTTAAAATAAAGCAACATGCATGAGAATCTGTAGGATCTGAATCTAGAATGAAACATTACTACATAAAGAGCATTTACCTTCAACTAGACTCTTTTATAGATTTTTAATCTTTGAAAACCTAGCAAGATACCTAATAGCTGAAGTTTTACTATTTTTTTTCTTTTTTTAATCATTTTGGAAACAGAAGAGATGGTATATGATATCAAAGAGAAGAAACAGTGGTTTACAGTTTCAAAAAAAAGTGCTCACTTAGACACATATTAAAAGGACCATATTTTCAGAGGCCTGATAACAGCACTTTAGGAAAAATCAAGCCACTTTCAAGTCCATCAAGCTGAGCACCACAAAAAAGACGGTCAAAATGACTGGTTACTTTTGAAAACTAAGGTATGAATTCCTAGTTGTTTGACCTCTGTGGTGAATTAAGATATAGACTGAAACTTACTGGTTTAGTACACACCTATCCCCAGCCAGTCAAAAGTTAAGGTTTAACTTTCACCCCTAGCAAAATGATGGACAACTTTTCAGAGCCCTGGGCTGGAACAACCCAACTCAGGTATCAGGCAGGCTGGTGTTCCAATGAAGCCACTGCCACAACAGCACCAGTGGCTTTTCCCCATCACTAATTCTCCCCATCCCCCAGCTGCAGGATGGGCACAGCTCTTTGTAGGCTGGCCCCAGGTTATCTCCTCAGCGTTTGGCTCCAGCCTAGGTGCAGGCAAAGCTTCCCACAGCCAAAATGCCACCAAAACCCCCAGCTCTGTGGACCGGATTCAGCAGATAAGCTGTTGCCACCGCCCCCTGCCCTAGCAAATTTATTATTTGCCCATTTCCCTGATACTACAGTGAATCTGTGGTTAGGTAGAAGTTTTAAATGAAAAAAAGATCATAATCAGGTCACATCATGCATGTGACTGGACATATTCAGCTGTGTCAAAGGGGCTGAATATTGTTCTCTTACCAAGCACTCCCCATAATCAGCAGGAACTTTTGGTTTTTTTATATTAAGTATTGAGCTGCTGTCAGAGTATCTCAATCTCTCCTTAAAAAAATCATGTGACAAATTATAAAGAATTTGTATTTTGGACTGGAAAAGTAAGTGAAACTTCTGTTAAGGAAATTGACATGCTCATTATAGATTTCTTGTCAGAAAAGATTAAGTCAGGGTTACTTGTACCCAGTTAATTCCTTCAAGTATGACATGAAAAAATATACTCAAAATATTAAAAAGGCAAGCCTCTCTAACAAAACCTTTTTCTTTGTGAAACAGATGTTGTTTGGCATCAGCCGTTTTATTTTGGTTTATAGGATGTCTAGTGATACAACACATTGGAAAAGAATGTCAAGTAAATGATTTCCTAGGCCTAAAAGCACCTGCTTGGGCCCTTGGAGGGTTGGAACTTTGGTTTTTCAAAATTTTAACATGAAAAGTCTCAATTAAAAATTAGTAATAGTGAAACATCTTTATACTCTTTTGCTTAGAGTATTAAGCAACCTAACAGAAACTTACTCAATTTTGGTTTGGGTTGTGCACAAAACTCTGATTTGATTGTGTAAACCATGTACTCTGTGCCCAATATTTTGTAAGCTGAAATAATAAATCCACATACAAATGATTTAATTCCAGGAACATTTTATAAATTAATCCAAAAACAGGCATGATGTGATACCTACTCTTCCCCTGTACATAGTTAGAGGAATGTTCTAGGGCGTTATTTTACATGGATATGTTTCTGTTCCCATATCAAATTGGCTGCAATATAAACAAACCCTGTGAGAACAATCACTTTACTTTCCTTTATAAAAATAAATACATAAGACTACTTTAAAATGTAAAGAAATTCCCTGAAGAACATCTAAAGGTCATTGTTTTTTAAAAAGAACTTTAATATGAAAATGTAAATAAATGTAGAAGTTTCTCAAACTGTGTAAGATCTGTACTTTATCTTTTTAGTTTTAATTCATTCTACATACGTATCTGATAGTACTAACATAATATAAATCAAGGACTGGGAAGTATACACAGTGAAGGCCAATAACATTCTTTAATATACTTAAAACTATACTTTTTAGTACAATATTCAAGCATCATAAAAGTGCCAATATAGTTGTGACTAGGCCTCCAGTCTTAAAAGCTCTGTTCTTAATCATCCAAAACTTTTTTAATATATATTTTTTTGTTCTTGTGTAAGTGCCAAAGGAAACTGTTTTGGAAAAAGTTGTAATACTGTTAATCTGGAGGACAGCGAGACAGGGGATTTTTTTGTTTTATTTTTTATTTGAACACTAGAGTTGTTTTCTCTTAGTTAAAACATAATTCCTTCTTTGTGGTTATACATCTAAATCACAGATTTTGTTTTAAAGTTTCAGATTCAGTGAAGTGCTTTAAGAAGATTCGTAACTCTCACATGAATAAAACTTGTATTTAACTTTGAAAGGAACTGCTTATAATACTCATAGCGTTCATCAAAATAGCTCCATTTGCTTCAAGGGAGCTATACCAATTTATACCAGCTGGGGAACTGGCCCAAGATCAGAATTAATCTTCTTTAACAACTAAGCTACCCAACTAAAATGAAACTTCTGTACACTGTGAGTAATGAGCCTACACATAACTCATATCTTAAATGGTGCAACTGATCCCAAAGCGAAGATAAGCACATTATTTAATTATACACCTCAGACATTACAACACAAACAAGACCCTCATTTAGTTTTTCTATGTTGGTTTCTTCCTAATGTATCTAAAGGAAGCAAGCAACCCCTCTCTAGCCAAACAAGGAAAGGTTAACTGAGCTCTGAAAGAAGTCTGGTCTAACCCACCTTAGCATTAAAAATGCTCCAAGTGTGATGTGAACAGGAAAACAAAGGAGAAAAAATAGAGGCAAACAGGTTTTTAAGGCAAACAGGTTTTTAAGGTTCAGAAGAGAAGCCAGGCTTACACCCCTCTTTTAACCGTATTTTCACTCAGCCAGGTGGAAGATTATGGTATGAGGGGTATACTATTGTAATATTGCCAGAGGAGGCAGCTAAAAAGATGCAGTTGAATAGCACATATCACAGCCACCTTAGACACAAACTCCCTCCAGCGTCTGAACTCTCCAATTTTAGATTTAGAATAGACTCCCACAGATTTCTTACCACCCACCACCAGGCTGCCTATCACAAGGGGCATCTATCTATTACCTGGGGCATCCACCAGAATCTATTCTAACATGTTGCTCGAGAAAACAACTAAAATCCAAGCCACAGTCTCTGAGTCCCCTGGCAGATATTAATTTAAACACACAATGGGATCTGTGGAATTTTATCCAGATCCCAAAAACTGTGTTATGTGCCATACCAGATATTCAAGATCCAGGACTTTTAAAGCTACACCATGAGGCCCAATGTCAGGGATGGGTCACAGCCAGCTTTAAACTTGCCAATGCTGAACCCAGCTTGAAACGTCACCAGAGCTGCCCCCTGCAATGGAAAATTAAAACCAACTGTTCAGCCCAGCACTAGGGCTGTCTGATCTCGCTTTAAATGTCCTCCTGTAGGAGGTGGGGGAGGAGGGTGAGAGAGGCTGATGGGCTCCTTCCATACCAGCAAATTTAAAGCCCCTCTTGTCAGTCATGGATCAGGTTTTAATATGTCACATTATCACATTAAAGCACCATCCAAACCAGCCACAAAGAGCACCTAGGTAGAACATGTGGCATGTTACAGCTCATCATGTGATTAACATCTTAAACCATCCAGTAAATATGTCTGCCAGGCACCTTAGAAACAGAACAGAGTTTGATATCCCTAACATCCTTACAGTCATAACAAATATGAACATGCTTATAGTTATAATGCATCTTTAGTCACACTGCAACCCCAAAAGGTTCAATCATTTCAGGTCTTACCCACGAAAATGGAACAAACCTGGATTTCTATGTGGCGAGGGTTATCAATGAACTTTTCTATCAACAGTCTATCATCACCAAAACTTGAAGCTGCTTCTTGAGAAGAAAACCTAAAACCTTCCCTTGAAAAAAGAAACAAAGAAAAAATAGGTTGGCAAAAAAGAAAATTAAGTCTGCTAGGACCTGAATCACTGGGAGTTTTGCTATTCACTTACATTATACTATCAGTGTAAGCATTTTTGTGTCTCAACATAAATGCTATTTTCACAAAGCATGAATTAATTCCTGTAACAAACAGATTTTACTTTTTGTGTTTTTTCTTGAAAAGACAGATGAAAAGTAAAAGAATCAATAAAGGGAACTCCAGATGCATTTAATATATTTCAGAATTTTTCAGACAATTAGACAATTTTGAATAATGATTATTTACATTATTATTCAGTTAAAATAATCCAATAAATTTAAAAAATAACAGTTACAGAACTTTATGTTTGGCAACAGTAAAGCCCACCACTAATTGTTGTGATTCATAGTATCTCAATAACAGCCAAGGTTAGTTATATATAAAGTAGGTTAAAGGACCAATTTCAGGTGCTTTCCTCTGTACCTTGTAAACTCAACAGCTACATACATACATACAACAGCTTCCAACATAGCACTGTGTTTCTCAATATATACAACTACACCCATTGCTCTTATATTCATTCCCCCCCTGCCAATCTACATGAGAGCTGGGCCTTACTTTGCACACTCCTTTATCAGATTTTCCCTCTTGCCTCCATTTACTCTTTCATAAACAACCATTTGAATTTCATTTGTTTGGTTAATCAGATACCATAAACACTGGTTTTGCTTTCAGTGATAGAACATTTACCACTGTGGGTCATAACTTATGTCTGTATGGGAAACTTACCATCTCTAGGTTATGGACAGAAATAACACATAAACCAGTATACATGATCAGAAACTGGTTCAAATCTGTGACAACAGAAGTTCAGTGCACATAAACCTCAGGGTAGCAGGCTAGCCTTGACCCAAGCTGTCTGCTCCACCCGATAAGGGAAGTGTGCTCTAGCACCCCCCTGGCTTCTGGCCTAAGCCACTGCAGGCATGTGGCTGCATTTCGAGAATCAGAAGTGAATGTCTGTTCACTTGCTTATCAGTTCAATCTACACTACAAATCTAAATAGGTTAGACTAAACTGCAAAGATTGAACTGATTCAACCTCAAGCTTTCTGACTATCTGAACTTAGCCCTAATGACAGCACCTTTAAGCACACAGCACTGCTCTGGGAAAGCAGCTTCCTAAATAGGAAGCAGGGGTAGCTGTCTGTGTGGAATGCCTTCAGCAGGCAAATTAACACAGCTGAATGACAATGTGCCAACACTCACACAGCCAAGGCTATTCTGCTTCCATTTAGGAAAAAATTGCCCACGGAGTACTTAGGAACACACCTCAACTGGGGATGCTAAGTACTGGTGCAAATGTAGCCAGGAAGTGGCACCTAAGTTTAAATCAAATTTGCACAGGGAAGATTGCCTATGATGCAGAGGTCCCAACAGGCAGCATGAAGCTTTCTACATGTTCACCTGGCAGAAAATGGTTCTCCACTAGCCCCAAATAGATCAGTAAAGGGGGAAGGTTTGGATAGAACCACAGTATTGTTATGTATGGAAATGTGGTAGTTTTACCAAATGCAGGGGTGCGACATGGCAAAACTCCTGGTATAGTGGAATCTGGAAGAGCAGTCATGGAAGGACTATGCTTTAGTATACCCTCAGTTCCTCTCCCAGTTAAGGCTGCTTGGAAATCTTGTGTCCTCCACACCAATGCCCTGAACGAAACCCACACAGCATTTTTTCTGAGTTTGGGATAAATGAATCTGGCCTTGCATTGTGCATAAAAATGAGAATATTTAATATCCTCCTCCTAGATTTCTGGATTTAGCTAATGTTTGCTTTGTAATTTAAGTAGATGTGAATTTGTTTAATGTGCATTTGGTGGTTTCCTTCAGCCAGCCTTTTTATTTGTTTAAGTTAATACATTAAATTACTTATTCAAGAGAAGGGTGGACTTTAGGTGTAGGGTGTATCCATTCTCCATAGTTATGTACCACCATTGACCCAACTTAGGGAAAAAAACACAAAGATACATACACACGTGAACAGATACACCTGCAGGTATTAGAACAAGTTTAGAGTTATTTTAACTCTTAAATCAAAGGTTTTGTTTCTTTTGGTAAACATTCTATCAGAAAACGTTATACACAATTGATTGACTACTATATTTTTCCTTCACTGAAGCATGTGCTAATTAAAAAATCCAGACTGCAATGCTTGTTAAAAAAAAAAAAATCAATATGTCTAATTACCTAATCTATACATCTGTAAAACCTAAAAATATGTGATTTTCTCAATTAAGTATTCTGATCTTACTGACACAGTTGTATTTGTGTTTGCACCCATGGTGTGATAATATGATAAATGAATTTCACTCATTTTAAAAAGCAACTAAAAGACGTTTTCAGATCACATCCACATAAACTAAACTAGAGTTTGGATGAAAGCCCTTTAAAGAAAAAATGGAGCACACCAGATGGCATTTGTATTTTAATCATTCCTCTTCTTTGATTCTGCCCTAAACCAGTGATAGAGCAAAGCATTGGGAGGTATGGTCTCAGAACCACATCAGAGCGGAGGTTGGTTTGAGATGGCAGAACCTGGAGGTTGCCTTTGCAAATCTCCATTGCTGACAGAACTATGTCCTAGGCTATGAAGAAGGTGCTTCAGTGTGCCCTTTCCACCTACAAAAATTGCCAAGAAATATAACTTTAAATAAATGCACATGGGAATCCTCCAATTCACTGTCGGCTGACTTGTAACGGAATGATACAGGACCACTGTACACCTCCAGTACAGAGCTGAGCCTCTCTACTATTACTCTAGTAAACTAAGGTACTGGAGAAAAATGTGACATTATATTCTTCAATAATAAAATCTAAACTACATGCCAATTAATGAGAAAAAATTAAAATAATAGCCCTGACATTGTACGGACACTACAAAGAGATTTTCTGTCCAATTCTGTGTTCTCTGAAAACCTAATCCAAAATCTTAAAAGGAGGTCTAGTTAAAAATAAAAGCCTGGTAACCATTAATACAATGGAATATTTCTAAAATGGTGACTAATACAGTGCTCTAATAAATTTCTAATGAATATTAAAATGTTTTAAAAATCTATATTACAATGAAACAGACACCAAAAGTGATGTCGCTATTTCAGCCTGCTAGCAAATTTATTTTAAATACTTCCATAATTTTTCATGATAGTCATGGTATGTATACTATATAAATCACTAGCTTCATATTTCTATAATTTCCATCAGAGTAATCAAATTATAAAAAGAAAAATAGCTGCGTTTATTTTTCCCCTTACGAAAATGGAATTTCATGAATATTGTTGACTTTCTCTATTCTAGTATTTTTTTCCAAATAACTAATATCCAATAACTAATATCCAATATAATTTATGATTATGCCTTATTTCAAGGCATTGATTGATCCTTAATTAGTAAGAATCTACCCCAATTGAGGAGGCAAGCAGCCAGTTTCATGGGCAGATCATGGGGCTGGCTGCCACGTTCATAGGCTTACTGCAGCAGAAGTCCCCTATTTTTTGATTGGCCAAGGACCCCCGGTGGCCTTACCACGCACCACTGGTGGGCCGTGAGGGCTGTACATCATGTGGTCCCTCCCCCTCACCACTGATTGGTGGAGGGACAGGTCCACACAGCAAGCAGCACTCTCAGCCAATCAGGGGTAGGGGTGACAGCCATCTTCCCTGGTCCCCTTTATGTCAGCAGCTCCTTTCCCCTTTACCCCTTCCCATCCAGCGGCCGCACTGCTGGGCTGCAGTGGCCATGAAGACTTCCACTCCCACTGGGGACCCAGCATTTTATTTTTAATAAGTTTTTTTGTCCATGGATTTTGTGAACATTGCCCAATTTCACAATTTCCATGAAATCATGATTTGAGGAGGTCCCTATTAATTAGATGCAATTTCATGTTTTCAGCCAGAATTACAAAATTACAGGATGCAGGGACTGAATAAAAGAAAGCTCCCAATAATACTGTTTGTCATAGTCCTTTCTTCACTGCTATAAAAGGCCCCACTTACAGTTAAGGCATGATTAACTGGTTCTTTATGTCTTAAAGTGGTCACCTAGCCACATGTTCAATCAATTAATGGCATAATAAAAAGAGGAATAAGCTACAAAGTTATGCCACAAAATACATGAAATAACTTTGTACCTACTTCCTATCACACCATTGATTGAACACATGGCCAAAGGACCCCTGTGGCTGGGAGCTCCATCACCTGATCAGAGCTTCCAGCTAAGGGGGAGGAGGGAGCATGTGAACTCGAGCCTGGGAGCTCCCAGATGACACTGGCTCCCAGCCACAGAAGCACATGCCCCTGCAGCGGGGAGCCCCATCAATAGACATGGCTCCCAGCAGCAGTTAACTCGGCAGCCCAGCCATGGCGGCACTCAAGGTATCCCGCAGCCATGAGACCACAACTGATGCGGTGTCCCAGTTCCAGAGGCGCTCCAGGTAGGAGGTGACAGACTCTATGGATAGGGGGAGAGTAGCAGTTATGATGTACCCTGACCTTAGCAAGGCTTTTGACACCATCTCTGATGACATTCTCATTAACGGACTATGGAAATACAGTCTAGATGAAAGTACTGTAAGATGAATACAAAACTGGTTGGATCATTGTGCTCAACAAGTAGTCATAAATAGCTCAGTCTAGCTGGGAGGAGGTATCAAGTGGAGTCTGAGGTCTGTCCTGGGTCTGGCATTGTTTAACATTGGGGTTTTCAGCCTTTCTGGGTCAGTGTACCCACGATGGCCAGTTGAGAAGGAAGGAGTCCCCCGGCGGCCAGTTGACGAGCGGGGAGGGGGGTCCCCCATCAGCCAATTAGCAACCAGGAAGGAGGGGTCCCCTAGCAGTCAGTTGATAAGCAGGTGGGGTGGGTTCCCTAGCAGTCGATCGGTGACTGGGAGGTACAAGTGGTCTCCCGCAGCCAGTCAGCAAGGATGCCAGCAGCATGGTGAT